CCCAAGTTTTACATCAACATGGATGGGATTGGAGGAGTTTATGCTAAGTGAAATAAGTCAAGCAGAAAAAGTCAATTATATGGTGTCACTTATTTGTGGAACATAAGGAATAGCATGGAGGACATTAGGAGAAGGAAGGGAATAATGAAGGGGGTGAATCGGAGGGGGAGATGAACCATGAGAGACTATGGACTCTGAGAAACAATCTGAGGGTTTTATAGGGGAGGGGGTTGGGGGGATGGATTAGCCCAGTGATGGGTATTAAGGAGGGCACATATTGCATGGAGCACTCGGTGTTATATGAAAACAATGAATCGTAGATCACTACATCAAATGATGTATTGTATGGTGACTAACATAACATAATAAAGTAAAATTAAAAAAAATAAAATAAAATGTAGAATATATGGGCAAAAAAAGGTTGCTATTATTATGTTAATTTAATCATAGGAAACTGAAGATTATTCACAAACTAGCCAGCCGACTTCCAGAAAGTTTTTGAATTTGGTTTCTGCTGGCCTTCCCAAAGCCATTCAGCCTTTTATATTCCAGAATATTTGAAAACACATTAAAGAAACATAACGATTTAGAAACAGCCAGGCGGTGACTTCCTCACAATGTAAAGGCCAATGCCCCGACAGCCCTGGAAGAAAATAAATGCGTGGGACAGAGTTTGCTATGTGGCAATATGTTAGCTTTAGGACATAACAAAACTGCAAGAATGGCAAGTGGCTGAAGTTCATTACCATTTGACCCTGCAGGAAGGAAGCAAAATCATTTTAAAGTACCAATCAATTGTTTCTGTTTTCTTCATTGAAGCAAGTGGGACTCTGGGGAAAGACTGAAGTGACAGATATTTAAGTACAATTTGATTTGTCTTTGTCTCCCTGCAGCCCTGAGAACAATGCCTTCACAGAGCAGGAAGTTTAAATGGACAGTGATGAATGGATACCTTATTGACATTCAGAAAACCATGTCTTCTGCCCTGAGAACCAATCTGTAGGGGCCAGACATGGCTGGAAACAAAACCATTTCAGACAGAAAAGCAAACTGGACATCCTTAAATTGTCTCTCTGATGTTCTTGCTACTTCTACCATGAGAACAAACTCTGGAGGCTAACATGGTCATTGTCTACTGCGGAGGGTCTGAGAACATTGTGAGTTTGACACAGCTCAGGATGCGGAGGCAGCCATCTGCTGCTGGGCTGGGAACATCAGGGCCATCCCTGGGGAGCCCCCATCTCTGCTCTTGCCTCCCTAGGTTGGCTTTCCATTTGCCTTTCCACGAATGCCTGCCTTAGACGAGCACGAGAGATGCAGGCACTGGAAGCAGATTGAGGAAATACCGGCTCTCCTCAGAGACAAGAGAAAGGCCCACTCAGCATGCAGGGCAAGTGGCCAGAGCAGTTCGTGTTTTTCTTTTGGGCAGAAAGTCTTGATTTGTAAGGGGTGGTGGCTACAGGCTGACAGCCAGCTCTATGTGGCCCTGGGGGAAGTGATGGCCCTCCTCAGGCTCCTACGAAAGAAAAATGTAACATGGTATGTGGAGTGAAGGACATGATCTATAGATCAGTGGTTCTCAAACTTTGGTGGGCGTCAGAATCACCTGGAGGGCTAATCAAGCACACAGAGGCCCAGGCTTGTTGTAGTAGGACAGGGCCTTGATCTTTCTAATTTTACAAGGCTCTTCCGTGGATCCAGATCCCCACCAAAGTTTGAGAATCACTGGTATAAAACAACAGAAATAAGAAGGGAACCAAGAGTCCTCGTGTTTGAGCAGCTTTGTCTAGTTGGGTAGGAAACTACAGGAGAGAGAGAAAAGCGAAATGCAAAAGGGAAAAATACCAAGTAATCTGCAAATCACTATGATTGATGAATTGGTTGCTATGGGAGCCCAGGGAAGGGGTACCCAACCCAGACCAGGAAGAGAGATGTTGTCTTTATAGAGGTAGAAACAAGATGGGGGCAAGGCCCAGTAACTGGGCAGAACACGGTGGTCCAGAGAGCTACAAAGTATGCCTGGAACTGGGGGCATGAGCATCAAAAGGTCAGGTCGATTTTGAGGGTTCTGAAGTCAGTCTTTAAGAATCCCCGTTACTTTTTCCTCACTCTTCAAGCATTTCTTGAGCACCCACTAGGTGCCAGGGCCTGGTATAATGAGACGAATAGGGAACAGGGCCCCGCTGTACAGTCACTCAGTATCTAGTTCAGGAAAGAGAGGCAAAAGCAGAAAATTACATTGCAATCGTCTCTATCTTATAAGAAAGGAATTTTTTGAAGGCCTGTGGGAGGAGCAACTCATTGTGCTTGGGGGAGTCTGAGAACTCTTCATGGTTTGTGTCAAAACCAAGCTGTTCTTAAAGAACTTCAGCTGGGGGAACAGCATGTCCTAAGGTACGAATAAGTCAAAGAGCTTGGCATCTTCAAGGGAAGGTGGGTTTTCAGGGCAGTGACAGGCCTCACATGCCATGCTGGAGTTTACGCATCGTCGTTTGGGCATAAGCAAGTCAATACAGTGTTTCGATTTGGAAAACTGCACAAGGTCTTTCTTTAAAAGATGATAAATCTGGAGGTATTGATAAGAGTAGACTCAAAAGGAAGAGGGGAACACAGCTATTCCTTTGAAATAATCTGGGTGAGAGATGATGAGATTCAAACCTCCAGCACTGGGGACAGAGACGAAGGGCACTTTTGATATACATTTCTGGGTTCTGAGTTAGAGGACCTGATCACCAGTGGCGCATCATTTGAGCTTGGACATGCCAATTTAGAGATATCTGTAGGACCCGTCTGGAGGTTAGGACTAGAAGTATCTAAGGAGTCATCAGCTTGGACATGGTGGTAGGACCAGAGGAATGTGAATGAGACAACCATGAAGAACTGGTGGCACAGGAAGGCCAAGGCAAAGCAGAGCCCTGGGAACATCCCTGACTTAAGGAGTGACTGGAGGACACATGAGAGGAGACAGGCTGAGCAGGACAGCAGGGTGGAACCCTGGAGTGAGTCCAACCTCTTACAGAGCCCAAGAATGGGCCCCATGAATGGCCTGGGAAATGTCCTCAGAGAACATATTTACCTTTCTAATGGATTACACCCTTGTTTCACTTCGTCATAACTCAAACCCAGCCAAGGGCTAAATGCTTAATGAAAATTAAATATCAGCAACTTCCATTTATTGAGTGCCAGGCTCTGTGCTAGAAACTTTCCTTATATTCTTGTTATCATCCAACCCATGTCGCCAGAACCAACATCATCAATGGGACTGCCACCTTGATGTATGGCCTCCCTAGGGAGAACATCAGGATCAGGTACCTTAAAATATCACAACTTATACCTGCTCTGCTTTGAGGGCAATGTCTACTGAAACGTTTTCCTTCTTTACTCTGAAATCCTGCCGTGTTCCTATGCCATAGCTATTATAATACACTTAACATGTATGTTATGTTCCAATTCTTAATACAAATAGCACAAGACAGGTAAAAGTGTATTTCTTAAAAAGTGCCAAATAATGCTGTCATCATCTGCTTTGTGTTCTACTGCTTTGGTCTTCTGAAATAAGTTGTGAATTCTGAGAGTAAGGAGTCATGTCCTCCCCTTCCTCTGTGTCCTCTACAGTACTGGTGAACTCAAGGCACTTAATTCATGTTTGCTAACTGAGTAAAAGAGAGAACTAATTGACATCAATTTTAGGGTCAGCAAGGAAAAAGAGTACAATATGTTTTGGTTCTTCCTTCTTAGAAGTTAGTGGGATGCACGAAGAACAGGGCTTTCAGTGAGTTTAAAGGTGGCATCTAGGGGCGTCTGGGTGGCTCAGTCGGTTAAGCATCTGCCTTCAGCTCAGGTCATGATCTTAGGGTTCTGGGATCAAGCCCCACGTCGGGCTCTCTGCTCAGCGGGGAGTCTGCTTCTCCCTCCCCCGCTGCTCATGCTCTCTCTCTCTCAAATAAATAAATAAAATCTAAAAAAAAAAAAAGGTGGCATCTAGGATGACCATGTGGCATCAATCTGAAGACCTTCAAACCTACCTACTCACCCACATGACCTATACATCCACCCACATAACATTTCAGTTATCCTGTGGATTGACCTGCACCCATTGAAGGAGCTGCTTCTACTCAGCCCCTGACAACCCCTCTGACCGGTATGCATCCCCCTTCTCCATTCACCCTAATCACTTGATGTTGACAGGACCCAGCTGGGCAGACCACCTGGTGGCTCATCTGTGCCTTGCCCTGAAATCCTTATTTTAATAGGGGCTGCAACAATGGAATCAGTAACTGGGTGCAAGCCACCCTAATTGGCAACATCAACTGGAAGGTCCTTGTCTCTGCAGGAGAGATGTTGGCCTTCAGCATGAGTGGCAGAGTTGTGTGGCATTGTGGGGTATTTATAGAAATTCTGGTTGGGACAGCCAGAGATAGGATGATGAGAGCATGTCACAGAGATGCACGGGGCAGTCATTTTCGACCAAATAAAATGGGGGCGAGGTGTCTGGGAGGCTGAGTGTCCCATGCAGACAAGTCCAGTGCTCTGGGGAGGGCAGCTTTTGTGTGAAACCAATGGGAGTACCTTGTCTTAGCGAGAAAAGACTGAGAAAATGTGAGAAAGAGCTGTATTCTTGAACTGGGATGTAGCCGGAAGGAGATTTGGAAAACTGGCCACAGCTGGGACTTCCCTGCCTCTGCCACTGTTTGGGTGAAACCTTTCTGTGTTGACTGCCATGCGATCAAATATTGGTGGGAGGGCAGGGAGGGGGAGTACATGGAGAGTCGAGGATCATGAGGCCAAGAGCATGGTCTTTGAGGATGAAAGTAAAATGATCCCTGGGTGTTGGCAACAAACAGGAAGTTAACCTTTAGTGGCCCAAGGCACCTGGGCTTTTCCTTCAGAGGCTGCCTGACTCCCAAAGACCTGCCCTCACGATGCACTTATGGGGAGCCCCTGAGGCTTGCCCTTCCCAGAGCACTGCAGGTGGACTGAGGGAGGAGGAGTATAATTACAGAGGTTCTGTGAGGCGAATCAGAGCCACTGCCGGAGCTGCCCTTCTTGGTTCTCTGGGCCAGGGAGGTGCCGAAGCGGAGGGTCTCATAGACAGGGTCCACCTTATTGCCACAGGCTGCAACAGAAGAGAAAGGTCATCTGAGTGACAGGTTTCCTCCACTCACCATCAGGAAGGCAGCCAAGAATTGATCATACCTCCTGGGTCAGCGGCACTTGAGAAGAAGGTTCTGTGCCATAGACTCACTAACCCCTGGGAAAATGGAGCTGTGTGTGGTCAAGCTTTCCCGGCAGGTGGGCCCCCCACAATATGTGCCCTTTGGCCAGGTCTTTCCCGTGCACCCACCACTTACATCCAGAGCTCTCAGTTCCCAGACGCTTCCTGATTTATTGGTTTTTCCTCTTTTGTTATCCATCCTCAGGACTCCAATGTCAAGGTTCTGCCCGATACCAGCTTTATTTCCCCTGGTGTGAGGTTCTGCTCACCAAGGGATGAAGCCTTGAGCGAGACTCAAAGTTTGCAGGAAGAGGCAAGTCTTTTTGAAAGAATTTGACATTACCGGGGCACCTGGGTGGCTCAGTTGGTTAAGCGACTGCCTTCGGCTCAGGTCATGATCCTGGAGTCCCGGGATCGAGTCCCGCATCGGGCTCCCTGCTC